ATACTACAAAAGGTCTTCATTCAGTGCTCATCACAACAATGAGCACTATATGCTCATCACTGTAATGCAATCTCAACCATCCAAAATATAATATGGATGGGTCAAATTTAAAATTTTTTAATATACAATTTTTTCAATGATAAATTTATTTTTTTAAAGATATGATAGTTATGATATTATATTTATTTTGAATTCTGTATCTATTAAAACCAAAAGTTGATTAAAATGTATAAAAAATTTAAATTCAATTTAAGCCGTTTAAAATCAATATGAATGGTCCAAATTACAATAAGCATTCTATGCTCAACATTGTGATAAGCATGGAATGTGATCCCATACCACAAACAATTAACTTCACCACAATCTTCGCTGAAACTCCCTTACACATATCAGCTTTACTCGGCCACCTTGAATTCACAAAATTCCTTCTTACTCACAAACCCAAGCTTGCCCTTGAGTTTGACTCCTTTCGAAGCACAGCCCTGCGCTTAGCTTCTGGAGAAGGCCACGTCCACATTGTGAAGGAGTTATTGCAAGCCTGTGACCAACTCCATTGCATTATGCGGTTATAAGAGGGAGAACAAATATTGCGTTAGAGCTAATTAGTGCAAAGCCTGTGGACCCTTGATCGGGGGAAAACTCTTTTCCACTTGTGTGTCATGTACAGTCACTTAGATTTCGTACGAAGGATAAATTTTATTGGTAAAATAAATTTTCTTCGATATGATTCAGAAAATGATTATAAAATTGATTTATAACAATTGATTATTTGAAACTTTTTAATTAACAGCTCACGGCAAAATCAAAATTTTAACTCAAAAATAAATTTTATCATTAAGAGGGGTGCATAGATCATCTTTAACAAAAACAAAGTTTAGCTGGATAAAATTTATTATAAACTCATTGGCCAAAAAAAAATTATAAACTCAATCCAAACAGACACTTATAAGAGTCAAAATTATGGTTTTATTAAAAAATATACCAACATTCTTATACATGCAAAATCAATTATGAACTCAAAATTTACATGTCAAAATTAATTATGAATAAAAAAACTATGATTATCTTATAAATTATTATACATTTATATATGCCAAAAATCAATTATGATACTTTACTTTTATAAATCGGTACGTATACCCACGCGCTTCTAGAAGCTAACAAACATTCATTTTGATTATCTTATGGATAGCCAAGTTATTCTCTTAACACGTTTGTGGAATATTTTTTATACTTTACTTTTATAAATTCACATTATTGTGGGGTTTGTCTATAAAAAGACCCACCAAGTAATTATGGTAAAGAGGTTAGGCAGAGGAAAGCAACGAATTGAGTCAACCATAGAAGTAAGCTAAACTTTTCCATTATTTCAAAAAGTAAATTCTCAGTTTTAGAACATGTGTCACTTATTTATTAAATCCCACTTCGACAAAAGCAATACCCACTATTGATGACCCCAAAAAAAATGGTGAAACAACAGCACTATTATAATAAACGCATTTTATCGAAGAATATTTGGAGGTCCTGAATTCAGGACTATTTAATGCTACTTTCGATCCTTAATATAAGAGTTAGTTGATTAATTCGAGTATATTAAGAAATTAGTTAAGTTAGTTATTTGTAATAAATAAGTGTTGTCTCTCCTAAAATATCCTTATTAATCAAATATATTGGTTAGGACTACTGTTATTACAAAGATTATCTTGAAAAAAATAAATAAATATGATAAACAAAGTGGACTAGGGTTTTATATTTAGAACTAAAATAAAAGTTAAACAAGGTCTTATATTAAGGACCGAAGGTGGTATATATACTCCGCTGGTAATTTTAAATTTAACATAATTTCCAGACTATATATTTATTAGAAAATGCAACAGATTAAAAAATTTTCAAGAAAGAAGAAGAAAAATTGGATCCTCTCTTTCGGTTTGTGGATTTTATTTTCACTTCAAGACGTTCCGCACAAATCAATTAATCCTCAAATTATATAATGCAAATGATTTCTCAATTAAATCGTGGTGAGTTTTATGTGCATTAAATTATTAGAATTATTTCTTGGTGAGAATTCCCTTACAATGAATAGAAATATTTTGAAAAAAGATGAAAGACAAAATGAATTGAGATATTATATTTATGACCAAATTGAACTCACAATTACCTCTTATGTTAAGTAATGGGGTAATATTATTGTTTTTTTTTTTTGGGAAATAAGGACAAGCCGTGGCTTGGGAGGGGTAATATTATTGTTGAGTAGTGGCGTGGAGTCCCAATCGCACTGAGTTTACTAGCAACCTTTTCAACCATGTGAATGTGTCTGGCAATAGTTATATTCCATTGCATTTTTTTTCATGTCAAATTGTCATTGGTAAAAGAAAAGGTAGGTAGGAAGAGAAATCACAAATAAAGGAGAGATGAGGACAATAAAATGAGACAAAGAAGAAGAAAAAGATGCACATCCCTCCAATTACACCCTGATCATAATAACAGTCAATGTCTTAGGTGGTATCATTTAAGGAGAATTACAATCAGGTCTTAAGGAAGGGATTTAATTACTTTAAAATCTATCAACAAGTAAAGAGTATACAATGACACGTTTTAAAGTAAGAAATGACAATAAGTTTAGATAGTCCCTTGTCATTAAGATGTTTTGGTAATTAAATTTTTTTTTTTACAACCTCTTGGTAATTTTTCCAGCCCATTATTTTCAATATGATTGAGGTGATGCCATCGTGTGAGTCATGTAAATGATGTAATACTAACGAGCTAGGATGCTACTTTCTATTTAGACTTTTGACAAAAGATCACTCTACGATCATTGATCAACACTTATAATTAGTTTGAAACTACCTGGAAGATGAAGTGAACTTGCATTAAACATTGGTTATATCCAACAATCATATTGTTTTCACGCAAGAAACAGAGAAGACGACAAAGAAACTTGTTTTAATTTGTATTTGTGTGTGATGAGTGGGGGGAAAAAAAGGGTGATTGATATTATGACATTACCAACCCACTTGATCCTTCCCGAGGGCTCTTATCCGATGTGGCCCCCGGCGGCCATGGCCATCGCCTTGCCATATGTTGGTACGTGCATAGGGATATTCTTTATCAAGGAATGGGAAACTAATTTTTGAGATCATTAACCAAGAAAAGAAAACCCAGTTATTCTCAAGGAAGAATTAAATAGTAGTTAGGTTTATTGGGCAAAAAAAAGGGTAGCCTGTTATACACACACACACACACACACACACTCCTCCGGTCCTTAATATAGGACCCAATTCTTAAGTTGGTTTTGGTCCTAAATATAAGACCCATTTCTCATATTTATTAATTTTCTCTAAATTACCCCTATAGATACTCCCTCAACCATAATCAAATAGAAGAGGGAGAAGGGTATTAAGAAAGATAATTATGGTGTTTTAGGAAAAATGTGTTACTTTTCTTATAATTAACTAACTTACCTAACTTCCTTAATCTAATCAAATTAGTTAAATGGGTCTTATATTAAGGACCAGAGGAGTATATATATTTATATAATGTGAATTGGTTTTGTTAAGTTATCACCAAAAAAAAAACCGTGAAAATTACAAAATCGCAAATTGGGATTGGTTACAACACTTTCATTGGTTTTGATAACAATTGAATTGCAAATGACAATACAGTTTTAACGAAACACTTGACTTGCAATTTCACAATTTCCACAGCCTTTTCTTTTTCTTTTCTTTTTTCTATTTTCCCTAGAAATTACTCCTCTAATTTTATTTATGTCACTTCCAATATGTTTCACAAAAATCATAAAAATCTTATCTTATTAATGTTGTTTTAAAGTTTACCAACTTTCTAATTTCACCCTTATTTAACATGTTACACTTTTTTTTAAAAAAAAAATCATACAATAATAAATTTCAGTTAACATATATGAAATTCTAAAGCGAATTGAGATGCCCTTCTAATTGTTGTGGTTGTTATTATTCTTTGAGTTACATATAAGTAAGCAGACTATTAGATTTACGCCAACTTGTTTTATTATCAAAATTCTACATTTTTTGTTACGTATAAATATTCTTTTTTTTTTTGAGACAATCTTATTTGAGGTACTGTCGAGCACTTAATATAAACATCTCTTTTATTGAGAATTTAAATATTAACTCGTTAAATTATAAAAGACTAACTCTTTCTATTAAACTAAAAGCCATTGGTAGAATTTACGTGCCTAAGAAAAAACAATGTGCTGGGAATAGAATAGAGACCTATATGGGCCCTACAAAACTTAATAATAGAGAACTATATTGCGTAGATGTGGTTGTTCCTTGTGAGCATTAATTGTGTCGAATTTTCACTTAGTGATTCATTCTTTGAGAATTATTAATCTAATCACAACTTTTTCTACGACCAAATCTTTGAACTTTCTTCGACCAAATCTTTGTTGGGACCCTTTTTGGTGTGCAATACTGGAGGTTGTTTCATAATCACTCAAACTAGGACAAAATTATTGCCACTCATACCTGTCATTAAATTACTTGTTTTATGTATGTTAAGTGACTATAATTTATATCAATTTTAAATCAAGTAAATCATAAAGGCCTACGAGATTAAAATCAATGCACAGGAATCTCCACCCCGTCGTTTCTCTTATCAAAATATATATACTGTATATATAGTGAAATATGTAACCAAGAAACTTTATATGGTTATTAACTACATGTCTTATTTATATTCTTTAAACGACCACAGAAGAATGATGAAGACTTGATTTTTATTAAAAAAAAAATGTTGACCTGGTCAAAAAAGGACTTCCAAAAAAAATTGTTTACGGCTTACTGAAACAACGAAGAAGTTGACTTCATATACCCCCCCGGGGGGGGGGGGACTTGGAAGAATATTCCGTTAAGGGGCACGAGAAGAATATTCCGTTAAGGGGCACGAGACAGCAATTATAAATTGGAACACAAAGTTATCCTAAACTTGCATCACGCAGTAACTAAACCAACCACATAATGATGAAGCAGATGAGTTATTCTTCTCTGCAAGAGACGGAGCTGATGAACATAGAGACTGCTCATCATCATGAAGAAGATAGGATGAGAGTTCTCTATGAAGCTTCATATAAAGGTTGTGTTTCAACCTTGAATTCATTGCTGCAGGAAGACCCCGGAATACTGCAGAAAATTAGCTCACAAACTATCTTCATGGAAACTCCCCTGCACATATCAGCCTCACACGGCCACCTTGAGTTCACAAAAACCCTCATCTCTCACAAACCAGAACTTGCCCTCGAGAGAAACTCTTTACAAAGCACACCTCTACACTTAGCTTCTGCAGAAGGCCACATGGACGTTGTGAAGCAATTGTTGGAAGCTCGTAAGGAGGCGTGCATGTTTGGTGACCAAGAAGGAAGAATCCCTCTGCACTATGCAGTTATAAGAGGCAGAAAAGAAGTTGCGTTGGAGCTGATTAAAGCAAAGCCAGACTCTGTCAGCTTACGTGATGACAACGGGAAAAATATTTTCCACTTATGTGTGATGTACAATCAGCTGGAGGTCCTGAAATATTTGGTGATGAAATTGAATACTGATGAAACCGACGAGCTTCTCATTGAGAGAGACTCGGATGGCAACAACACCATTCTCCATTTGGCTATCATGTTGAAGCAAGTGAAGGTACTTTTTACTTGTATAATTAGCGTGAGTTTGAGATTACATTGCATATATACATATATATAACCGGTTTCGATCTTTTTCTGGTTCTTTTATGTATAAGTCACAAGCATAACAAATTAAATTTAATTTGCTTGTTGGTTGTTATGTTCAGACTGTGAGTTACCTCATTTCAATTCCAAAAATAAAATCAGAAGCACAGAACTTGAAGAACGACATGGGTTATACTGCCCCTGAAATCGTTCATGGAATTCCCAAGGACTCCAAGAGCCTTGAAATACAAGTCATATTGATTGAGTCAGGAATCAGATGTGGAAGGAAAAAAAGGAACGATGTTGGTAGCAAAGAAGACACAAGTGGGAAGAAGAAGACGTGGTGGAGAAATGTTTTCAACAGTATAGACCAATGGTTTAAGTATAATGGCGATTGGGTAGAAGACATGAGAGGAAATCTAAGTCTGGTGGCTACTGTCATCTCAACCATAACCTTTCAAGCTGCACTTAACCCTCCAGGAAGCATCATCCAACAAGGTATAAGACCCAGCGAACCAGAATTTAACCTCACTACCAGTTCAAACACTTCTCGCGATGAAGGACCCCTCGGCTGCTACTATGAGCATCAGGCTAACAATTTTCTTCGCAGCCGCGGAGCCTGTCCCGGGCAAGCTCTTCTTGCTCATCGTGATCCAGGTTACTTTGGGGAATTCATAACCTACAATACCATCTCTTTTGTGGCGTCTCTGTGTGTTGCCCTCTTGCTTGTAAGTGGAGTGCCTCTCAAACATAGATTTGTGTTGTGGCTGCTATCTATAAGCATGGGCGTAGCTCTCACCTGCCTTCTGAACGCTTACTTTGTTGGCGTCGAACTTATCACCCCATACTTTGTGCATACCGGTTCAGGGGTGATGATAGCCACTCAAATTTTTATTGGGCTCTATGTACTGGTTGGTATATACATTGTGCTGAAATTTATTATATGGGTGGTGAAGAGATTGAAGAAAAAATTTAAGAAAAATGAGGAAACTGAAGGGGAAAATAAAGTTAACTTGGCATCGGGAAGTCAAGTGACCACGCGGCCAATTAAGACTTGATATGATCTCAGTCAACTGGTGCGTCTTAGGTGTGCACAATAGCTTTTCCGGGGTTGATTACTGATAATGTTCTCTCTGTATGCATATATATATATATATATATATATATAAAAATAGCTCTCTGTGTGCGCGCTTAAATACTTAATGACTAGGTTGTGTTAGTAGTTTGCAGTCCTGTATTTCATCCAGATCAGTAATTTGCATCTCATGCTTCAAGTTTTGAAGGTCTTCCTACTTGTTTATGTGCGTATGAGAAACCTTCTTTTTCCCATGAAAATACCTCCATCTTCATTTCATTGATATCACAAACCATATGTATAAGCTTTCTTTTTTTTTTTTAATAAAAAAATAGAGATGTTATCTCAATGAAATTAAAGATTTGTATGATTTAATTACTTGACGTTGAGGATTAATTTTAAAAATAAATATAATGCTTGTATAATTTCGATTAGAACAAGATTGTGATAGTTTAATTTAAAAAACAAAATTATCCATTTTCAAACACAATTCCACGATTGACCCTTATCTTGATTTTTTTTATGTCTTTATTCTTTTTTTTTTGGGTGAACATTTTATGTTTTTATTCATTGCATAGGAGACAGTATGATTAATCAGTACAAAAAAGTCGAAATTATATATATTCTATAAATAAGAATAGATAAAACGAATTTAAGTAATGAATTCCAAGTCAAAATAGCAACTTTCCCACAGTCGTAATTTCTCTCTATCCAACTTCCATTATACTAGCTCGGGTCTTAAATATAAGAACTAATAGCTCGGGTCTTAAATATAAAAACTAATTGACTAATTTGAATGAATTAATAAAATAAGTTTAAGTTAATTATTTGTAATAAATATATATTATGTTCTTAAAAATATCCTTGCTAATCAAATATATATTAGTTATAATTATCATTATTAGAAGAACTATCTTAAAAAAATGCACATATATGAGAGAGAAAATAGATTTTAAGACTTATATTTAAAATCAAAATAAAAATTAAATAAGATCTTATATTAAAAAATTGAAGTAGTATATACGTCTAGTGTTTTTGTGCGCCCAGATATTTGTTAGTGTGCAAGCAAAAAGCAAGCGTAATTTCACCGTGCACGGTGAAAATTCAACAATGCTGCTTCATTGATATTCTCATTCCATGGCACTGTCATTTCCAACCTCTCATTTCTATTTCATTGTTTGGAAAAAAAAAAAAACAAACAAAGAAAGAAAGAAAGATAATTAGGCCCATGGTTTTACGTGAAAAATTAATAAATATATAAAATTGGTTGATTGGCTTTAGGAGACGTAAAAGAAATTTTAAAAAATTATATGAATAATGTATGCCGTACACGTGGTTTCCCAAAATGGACTTTTCTTTTTTATGGACAAAGGGACAAATTTTGTTTACGAAAGGTCAGAAGATAAACAGACGCCCCACGATCACAGACTTCTGAAAAGAAAACTCCCACAGCCACCGGCCGGACGTCGCCACGTCGCTATGGGCTCATTTGAAAAATTAAGAGTGAGAAAATTATTTTTTATTTAAAATTTCACACCCACTAAAAAATTTCTAAAAATAAAAATTTAAATAAATTAATAAATCTGTAAAAAAATTAAAACGAGTTCTCTTGCTTCTATGCATGATGAGAAACCTTTTCCCCATGAAAATAGAGATTGTATTATTTCATTGAAATTTTAGATTTATATGATTTACTTTAGTTTAAAGAGAAATTTTAAAATAAATATGATATTTTTACAATTTCAATTAAAACAATATTGTACATGCGTTTCGAAACCTCTTATCTTTCTTTCCTATCTTTTTCACTCCTCTTTCTTTTTTAACCTTTACATCAATATTTCAACCGTTGAGATTTAAACCCTTTTAAACTATTATTAAAATATTAAATTATGAAAATAAATAAATAATAAATTACAAACTATATTAAACTTTAATTCTAATGCTTTGTAAATGTACTAAATATTTTTTTAATTTTTAAAAAAATTAAAAATCTGAATCATTAAAATATATTAATTCAAAAGTTAAAAAAAAAAAAAGATGAGAAAAAAAGAGAAGAGTTTCGAAACCGAAGAAACAAGGATGTAAAACCGTGCATCGAGGGTGCCTAACAACTGCTAGTCTGCTACAACAACAACGTCACTTCCATGACCATTGCTAGGACCCTCGGTTGCTTGAAGTACTTAGGTGATTATGAGTTCAGCAGATTCATAGTTTACAATACAATCTCTTTTTGTTTCCTTCTTAATTGCTTCTAAGTGGAAGAATCCCTTTCAAAATTATATCCATATATGATGTGTGGGTGCTCACTTAGGCATGCTCTCAAATCTCACATTCATATATATATATATATATAGAAATACATGTTTCTTTTCAGTTTTTCTGTCTTTTTATCCAACCAACTTTTCAGGGTTGATTATTACTGTTATTTTTCTTGGTGTGTGCACTTCAATATCTAATGAATAATGGCGTGTGTTTTATATGTTTTCAACGCTATCGTCCCCACCTTCAGTCGTCTACTTATAACTTTGCTTCATTATTTGGCTACTGAAGAAAAATATTTTTTGAAAAAAAAATCACGCCTCAAATATTAACACGTCGTAGTGGCTATTATGAAAACAGAGAGAATAAATGGAAAAAGAAAAAGATGGAAGCCACCAACAAGAGCTAGTCTAATTGGTATAGAGTTAGCTCATAATCAATAAAGTCATGAGTTCAAATTTTACTCCTGATATGGGGACTATATTGGCGGGGGGTATGTGCTTCAGCTTTAATTACTAGAAACGCAAACACAAAACTAGTTTCAGTGCTCATTAGTGTCCTAAACTTATCAGATCTGAAACATTGATATTTTGTTTAAATGGTCTGGATTTGGTTTTTTTTTTATTTGTTCAAAATAATTTTTTTAATATGCATAGAATCTAAAATAGAGATAATCTCTTAACTATCATTCTTTTAAGAAATAGTTTTTTCTATTTAAAAATAATTAATTAAAAATTTTAAATATGAACTGTTCAAATAAGATATAGAGGTCTAGGTCTGATGAGTTTAGAGCACGCAAACACCAAGCCACATGTCTGGATGCGGTCATATTCTTGGCTTTATTATTGAAATCGCTTTTGTCAAACTATTTTTATTGCATTTCTTATAACTTCACTGCTGACCGTCGAGTGATGATTATTTCTTCTTCCTAGTTGTGTTACTGCATGATTTCCACAAAAAATCTAGTAGTAGTCATCAGTAAATATAAGAATTAATTACAAGTAAGAATCTTAATATTTAAACCTTTATTAAAATAAATTAAACAGGTTGGATATGAGATATAGAGAAAGGAAAAAAATGATAAATGTGAAAGATAAAATGAAGTAATATCTTGCATTCAGGATAATGTTAATTGATCGGAGACTTTTCCAAATGTTCGTCCCAATCTCTTATTTGTCATCTATCAACGTTCCTAATTTTCATTGCTCCACGAAAGAGAGGAACTTGCTGGTCTTCGAAGTTTCACGAAGAAAAGCCATTTCTAATTAATTTTCAAATGTTGAATAAATCACATTATTAGATTAAGATGGCCATTTAAATTTTGAAAGTCGAAATGACAAGTGTTCTCATTCATTCTCTCCCTTTGGAAGGTCGTCAGCCGCCTGTTCATATTTTTAGAAACCGTGGTTCCCTCTAGTCCGGTGAGTGAGTCTAATTACCAAAGGGTTAATTGGATTACGTTTTGTGTTTGTATATTCTTGAAAGAGTTTCGCTGAATTGTTTTATGGAACAAGTTTTTCCAATATTTATTAACAGCACTTTCAGGAAGCATGCTAAAAACTGGGTCGTCAAAGGTTTTTTATGTTTGGGCGGTGGGGGTGGCAATGACTACTTGTTGAACGTACCAACCCGTAATACCCTTCTAAACGCACAGTTTGATCAATCTGAATACTTCATTAAGATCAAAAATGGATTACACCTTTGGGCCTACCGAGACCCGTTATATATACAAGTCACAGTAACAAACTAAAATACATTCAGATACGCAACCAGAAACTAATCCTCATGGGCTACGTACATTCGGGCCCATAACACTAATTGGGCCTACAAAAACTAAACAGGAAAATACAAGGAAACAAATGAAACAAGTATTTCAACACTCCCCCTCAAGTTTGGGGCTTAAAGACATCCATAGCACCTAACTTGCTTAGAAGATTTCTCTGCACATTCCCTCCAACAGCCTTCGTTAGCAAATCTTCCTGTTGATCGTTGCTTCTAACATGAAGCAGATTAATAAGCTTTGACTGCCATTTCTCTCTAATAAAGTGACAATCCACTTCTATATGCTTTGTACGTTCATGAAAAACTGGGTTAGCTGCAATATGTATTGCAGCCTTGCTGTCACAATACACCTTCACTAGATCATTGTGAGTTATTCCCAAATCTTTCAGCAAACTAAGGGCCCACACCACTTCTGAAATGGCCATACTTAAAGCCCTATACTCTGCCTTAGCAGAGGACTTGGAAACAGTGTTTTGTTTCTTTGTTTTCCACATTACAAGTGAGCCTCCCAACTTCAACAAGTAACCCAAAACAGACCTTCTTGACATTGCACATGATGCCCAATCTGAGTCACAATAACACTCTAATTCTGGCTTCCCTTTAGAGCTGATGAAAATTCCCAAGCCAGGAGTCCCCTTTAGATAGCGCAAAACGTCTCTTGCTGCAGCCATATGAGCCTTGGTTGGCATTTGCATGAATTGACTCAATGTCTGCACAGAATAAGATATATCAGGCCTGGTCATAGTTAAATAAATCAGCTTACCTACCAAGCGTCTGTATTTTTCAGGTTGCTGTAACAGATCCTCCTTCTTATTCTTCTTTTCATTGTAGGGAAACAGCTTCAGACTTTGTGCCATTGGGACTCCCAAGGGCTTACAACCTGTCATACCAGTCTCAAACAACAAATCTAGAACATATTTCCTTTGTGACAAAATAATTCCT